CGAGAGCCGAGAGCCCGCCCCCGTGTGACCTGCCCACCTACCTCCGTGCCCCCGAATGTAGTTAATGCCCGCTTTCTTTCTTTTTTTTTTTTTTTAAAGCGCCCTCCTCGTTTGCTTGTCTAAGATTGAGATGAGTGTTGTGGTCCTGCCCCCCTTTCCTCCAGTGGAGGTTGCCGGGATCTGTACCTCCATTCATTCTGTCTAGGGAGGCGATGACCACGCTTGCACATTAAAATGTGTGACTTCTTTCTCACCCTTCTTTGGTCTTCAGTACTACTTCTTAAATACGTTTTTCGAACTAGATCTAGGAGTTTGAAGATTATTTTGCAGTTATGTAATGTGGATTTGTATGGCCCTGGAAAAGCCATGTTGCTCCTGGGCAGAGTGGAGCGGACCGAAAGGAGGGAAGAGATCGGACCTCTCTTGCACCGGACTGCTGTAGTGTGAAGTATTGTGCCTTAGGTAGTTGACAGCAGTGTCTACACAACTTCCACGCTGTCTTGGGTACTTCAATTTTTAAGATTTGTTCCCGCCAACGTTCAGAAGCCTAGGAAGGCCGTTCAGTTGGTTATCAGTTGCTCGTGATTTAATAGTGTAGATGCTACACTATTACAAATTTTAACTTTCCTTAAAAGCCTTTGTTGTCCTCATCTGTAAAATAAGGACTAGGATAGTATTCACTTCATGGATGATTGAGATTGGAAATTCATTGAATGTATGTAAAATCCTTAGTGCAATACCCAAATAACGTAGTGTTTAGTCCTTTTTACCCATAAGTATTATTTAAGAATTTTCAGTGAAGTACAAGGGCCTAACCCTGATTCTAACATTTCTTCCAGTGTACTGTGAATAGACTATTTTTCTGTGAATAGTCTTATAAAGTAGAAGTTAATCCTTAATGCAAAGTTTCTCATTGGTATGTTACTAGAAAGGGGCATTATGACACAGTGAAAACAGCCCTTGGATTGGTAATTGCAGGATATTAGGGACCTTGAGGGGTCCCCACCCACTCATTGTGTTCCTTTGGACAAGTTAGCTTCTTTATCTGTAAAAGGAGAATATATCTACACAAGGTAATGTGGGAGATTAAGTGAGATAATGTATGTTGAAGGCTTTTGTAAATGAAAGTAAATAAAAACGTGAGTTTTTATTAAATAATTCATCTTCTTGGAGTTACCGAATTTCCATTTTTGGTCCTCAGAGTGTAATTTAAAAAATTTTTTGGTAGAGAACACATAGGAAGAAAATTATTGTCCCACTGTTGCATATAGGCACCATATACTAATTATAGTTTGAATACGTGTATTTTGTGTTTGCTATATTTTTATTCCAGTGTTAAGGCTCTTAATATATTTTAAAAATAAGTCCAATAAGTCCATTTTAATGTTGGGTAACGACTTCAGACTTAAAGTCAACATTTTTGTCCCCAGATAAATGAGCTTTATACTTAATTATACATGATTTTAAAAAAATTTTTAATTATACATAATTTAAGGGAAACTTACATTAAGTATTTTATAACATTGGAAGCAAAAGCAGTCTTTGAATCTTTTAAAGTTTTACAAAAACATTCTGTTTTTAAATTTCTCGATAGTCTTTTGACACTGCTGCTACCATTTATAATAATTTCGATTCCTCACAAAGTTTTTGAATAGCTTTTACCTAGCTTTTTTTTTTGAAATTTGAAAATAAGAAAATATGATATTCCCACTAGCCAGAATAGTGATAATGCTTTTTTTAAACTTCATTTTGACATAATTTCAACCTTTAAAAAAGTTAGAAGAATAGTACAAAAATTCTCAAATACCTTTCACCCATATTACCCAAATCACCTGGCCAGTTTGCTTTATCCTTTCCCCTTTTTCTCCAGTTTTCTTTTGAAATGTTTACTTGTAAGTTGCATGTGTGGTGTTCCTTAACCCCAAAATGTTTATTTCCTAAAAGCAGGGACATTCTCTTATTTAACAACAGTACAATGGTCAAAGTCAGGAAATTAATATTGCTACAGTATTATCTAATCTGCAGGTCTTAATTGGATTTTGCTTGAAATTGTCCTGAATTGGTATTGCTTTTTTTAAAAGCAGCTTTATTAAAGTGTAATTGCATAAAATTCAGTCATTGTAAACTTACAATTCAATGATTTTTAGTAAATGTACTGAATTGTGTAACCATTACCCCAACGGATTCCTCTTTGCTGTTTACAAGTCACTTCCTTTCCCACTCCACGCCAGACTATCACTACCTTTATCATTGAAAATGGTAAAATGGCAAAGTGGAAATCTCAGAAAATTATCAGCTCCCTTTTGGGAGACTCAAAACACTTTGATAACGCTATGTAAAGCTTTCTTATAAAAGAAACTTGTGGTTAAGCATTTCCCATTCTTTTTTGGACATGGAACACTTTTTTCCTAGAAATAGTTTCTGAAGACTCCAGCAGGTCTGTGGAAATTCAATTTGAGAAATGATATTTTGAGGGGCTTGCTTTGCTTAGGCTGGGGAGGTTATGTCAGTCCATTGTATCTTGCCAGGTTATAAGCAGAGCAGGAAACAGTGCATGCTACACTAATAGTCAGTATAGAACCACTACTTGGTGTCTAACTATATAACTTAAATTTGCTCTTTCAGAACTAATAAAAATAATACTTAGAAAAGAACCGGGCATGTAGTTGTATAGGATTACTTGCTGAGGAGAGTCTATTGGTTCATTTGCCTTTCGTGATTTCAGAAATTTGGCAGTGTCTTGATGGGGTTAGCCTGTAAGTCTATCCCTGGTAAAATATTTTGTTTCTATCAGGATAAATCTGCAGTGGAGGAATGCATATAAGCAGTAATGGTATTCTCAGGAGTGCAGGGGAAAAAGACTGGTTTGAAAGAGTAAAGTGGAAAAGAAAAGCAGAAGTGCATGCATATGTTGAGTGGTAGAGATAAATCTTATTTAGAAGTTTGGTTTTTGGGGGTGGGGGTAATATCAAATTTATTGAGATAAAATTTACATGTAATAAAATGCACCCATTTTACTTTCAGTGAATTTTGACAAGTGCATAACCCTGTATGTTTTTGTTAATTTTTTACTTAATCTGGTTAAAATGCTTTGACTCTTCTAAAAGTGAAGAACTCCTATTCAAGTATTTTTAAAATGCTATTTAAATTTTTTTCAGTGCTAATAAAAATAACCTCTCCATCTCTCCTTTTCTTAAATCCCACACACATTCGCCTTAGCAGTTGGCGAGCTTCATAATAAATCTAGAATCTAGCAACTTGTTGCCACTTTCACTGTACACTTGTTCCAGGGCCCCCTCTTTTCTGGATTATTGAAGTCGTGTTTTGCTTTGACCCTTGTTTTTCAGTCTTAACATAGTGACCAGGAACACTGTTACAATAAGCCAAATAAGAAATCCTTTAAATTTAAATGTTTTTCTTCTTATTTAGAGGAAAAACCAAATTCTTTACAGTGGCCTACAAAGCCCTGTACTCTCTGAAACTCCCCCCCCAGTAATATTTTACATTTATCTGACCTTCCTTGCACACTGTACTCCAGCTGTTGGCCTTGCTATTTCTCCTGCAAGTATTCCATTCCCACTGCTGGCTTTTTGTATTTTCTTTGTTTGGAAGATTATTGCCCCAGATTAAAAAAATTTTTTTTTTTTTAATCCTCACCTGAGAATATATTTATTGACTTTAGAGAGTAACATTGATTGGTTGCCTCCTGTATGTTCCCTGACCACCGGGAATCAAACTGAGACCTTTTTGGTGTTCCGGGAGATGCTCCAAACAACTGAGCCCCCACAGCTGGGGCTATTGTTCCTGAATATTAAACAGGGCTTCCTACTTCAGCCCATTCAAGTCTTTGTCCAACTGTCATCTTCTGACCACTCACTGTATTTAAAATAAAGCACACCCAGGTTGTAGCTCAGCAGTTGAGCATCGACCCAGGAAACTAGAGGTCACCTGTTCGATTCCCAGTCAAGGCATATGCCCGGGTTGCAGGCTTGATCCCCAGTGTAGGGTGTGCAGGAGGCAGCTGATCAGTGATTCTCTCATCGATACTTCTCTCTCTCCCCCTCTCCCTTCCCCTCTGAAATCAATAAAAATAAAGTACTCCCTAACTCTCTTTCCAACTTCATTCTACAAAGTATCAACTTTGAATATCTATGTAATTTATTATAAGAGTATTACAATTGATCAATTATAGGTAAAATCTGATTAGCTTTGCTTATGGTTTTAAAAGTTTTTTCTCAATCATTTTCACATATCAAAATACATAAAAATTTATATTGAAATAAGTGGTTGAGACTCCCATTTTAGGATGTTTGAAAGTGAATAATATTTATCTAGAGGTTACCAGAAATGTTTGTGTTCTGACTGTCATGGAAGGGTTATTGTCTTATTAAGATTGCCTCAACCTTTGAAGTTCAACCTATGAATAAGCAAGTTTTGAACAGTGTGAAGTAAAAGGAAAATATTTCATAGAAAAATTAGAAGTGCTTGGAATATATTGGCATATACTAAAATTAAACGTGTAGTCTGATGAAATTTTTTTAATTCTTTTTTTTTGGTTTGTTAATTCTCACCTGAGGATATTTGTTCCATTTATAATTATTGTAAGGCTAGCATAGTACCTGGCCCATGGGAGCTTATTAATAGATTTGTTTAATGAAAACCTCAGAGTTAATTTGTTTACTCATTCATTTATTCAACAGGTATTAATACCAACTGTCCTCCTAAGAAAAGTGCTGAGATAGAGTATTATAATACAAGAGCTTCTGTAAGTAGGACAGTAGCTGTCTCTGTTTTAAAAGGAGATACACTTTTTCTTATAGAGTATTTGTTTTTATTTTTGGGCAAAAATATAAAGGATTATTTAAAAATATAAGACATTTATAGTAAAATTAGTTGGCATCTCCCCTTTTTAATTTATACTGATACCTACTTTTTATTAAAATATATTTTTATTGATTTCAGAGAGGAAGGAAGAAGGAAAAAGAGAGAAACATCAATGATGGGAGAGAATCATTGATTGGCTGCCTCCTGCACACCCCCTACTGGGGATCGAGCCCATAACCCAGGCATGTGCCCTTGACTGGAATTGAACCTGGGACCCTTCTGTTCATAGGCTGACGCTCTATCCACTGAGCAAATCGGCTAGGGCTGTTTTTAAATTTTTTCTATTTTTAAATTAATTGATTCTTGAGAGAGGAATGGGGAGGGGAGAGAGAAACATTGATTTCTTGTTTCACTTATTGATGCATTCATTGGTTGCTTCTTGTATATGCCCCGATTGGGGATTGAACCCACAGCCTTGGCATATTGGGACAATGCTTTAACCAGCTGAGCCACAAAGACCAGGGCGGTTCTCTGTATTTGAATGATTACTATGTGACCTGATGTTAAGATGTCTCCTACCCCCAGGTTTATAGTTCAGTGAGACAGTTATTTGTACTTGAGGAACTGGCCAACACTGAATCAGTAAATACTGTGTAACTTTGTAAATTAGTTTTCAGAAAGGTGCTGATATGTATTAAAAATGAATGTATCAGAACACTTTTAAAAAATAACTGTTAGAAACCTTCCTGGATTCTGAGTTTGGTTTAAAAAGATTCATTGATGTTTCGTATTTAATTTTGGATATTAACTGAACCTGAAAATTTTTTTCTTCCTTTATATGTATTCCCATATGATTGTAGGAGTCTATCCTGAACTTAGATCGTGTACATTTTGGGAACTTATTTTAGAAAAGATCTAAATTTTAAAAATACTCAATGGACAGACAGAGAAAAGAGGGTCTTTGCCAACTTCTTTGGGTAAGAAAACTTTAGAATTTTGCAGATACTCTAAAAATGAAGGCCAACAAACCAGGCATATTGAATTGTAAAGTTTTCAAATAAAATGATTTGTCATGATTTCTTTTTTAGACATCTGCAGTAAGAATGTCTTTCCCCCCTCATTTGAATCGCCCTCCCATGGGAATCCCAGCACTCCCACCAGGGATTCCACCACCACAGTTTCCTGGCTTTCCTCCACCTGTACCTCCAGGTAATTTTGTGAGTACTGTAGTTGTTTTAGCCCATACTTTTGTAGTATTTACTTTTAGGAAGATATGTGTGTGACTGTTAGTAGTAAAGATGTCTGTTAACATCATTCTGGAAATGTGATGTCTCATTTTCCTATGGCAGAAGTTTTCATATCTGACTGAGTATAAACTCATTTGGGACATTTTTTAAAAAAGTTACTTAAAAAAAAGAGCTCATGAGGTTCAAAAATGAAAAAATAGTGCTTGCTTTGGCAGCACATATACTAAAATTGGAACGATACAGAGAAGATTAGCATGGTCCCTGCGCAAGAATGACACGCAAATTCGTGAAGCGTTCCATATTTTAAAAAAAAAGAAAAAATACACAGTGAAAAAATTTTATTACATTCCCACAGAATTATTTTTAGTTTTTTCTTTGTCCTTCCAGATATTTTCTAATGCATATTATAAGCCAGTAACTATATTATTTTATTCACCAGTGGGTTTTTTAAATTGATTTAAGAGAGGGAGAGAGAAATATTGATTTGTTGTTCCACTTATTTATGCATTCACTGGTTGATTTATGTATGTGCCCTACCCAGGAATGGAACATGCAACCTTGGTGTTTTAGGACGATGCTCTAACCAACCAGCAGACATATCTGGCCAGGGCTCCGTTAGTACTTTTTCTTTTAACACAGATATAGAGTATTATTCTATATACGAGAGGCCCGGTGCACGAAAGTCATACACGGGTAGGGTCCCTAGACCTGGCCAGTGATCAGGGCTGATGACGTTCCCTGCCGCTCCCTTCCCTTGCCACCCTCACACCGCCACCGAGCGATTCCC